ATTCACGGATGCTGTACTTCAAGAAATTGCTATCTACATTTAAAAACAATAAATACAGTACACACACGAATTTTCTTTTTAAAATATTTTTGCATAGCTGTGCTCATTAAAGGACACTCAACCTGCCTCAGGCTAGGTAGTGGAGAGAAGTTTGAGTAGTGTCATTTGGGAAAGATTTCTGGAGCTCTAACCCAATTGTTAATACACCTCTACCCCGATATAACGCTGTCCTTGGGAGCCAAAAAATCTTACCGCGTTATAGGTGAAACCGCGTTATAACGAACTTGCTCTGATCTGCCGGAGTGCACAGCCCCACCCCCTGGAATATCCACGTTATATCGGAATTTGTGTTATATCGGGTCGCGTTATATCGGGGTAGAGGTGTACTATAAGATCAACCCAGAAAACATGGAGTAACTTTTTATACAAATTAATGACACAGAAGCACCTGCACAAATACTGATATCCTTCATGGGTTGGGACCTAACTACCTGAGAGGCCACTGTTCTCTGCAGGTGGGTTCAGTGTGGGACACTCAAGATAACAAGCCTTATATTTAAATGTCAGTGGCTTTCTCCATAGTGGGCTCTCAGCTCTCCTGTTTCAGGTGTACAACAGAACCAGAGTCAGCTGATCTTTATGATTCACTACAAGGGCCCATATATTTTTTTCAATGGTTTGACTGAGGGGATGGCAGGGCACGAGGGAATTTTTAGTTTGAGGAAAATATAACTGGGCTAAAGCATGTCAGAAGGTTTTTAATAAACAAAAAATTAAATATAGGCAATTTCCAAAAGTATATCTGCTTATATGAGACAAATGTGTATCAAATACATGCATTTTCCTAAGTAATTCTAAAAGCAGTTTTCAGATTTTTAAAAAAATAAAATACACTAAATCAAGTTCTTTTTGTCTCATTTTCAATGGTTAAATTCCATTAAAGGCACACAGTCTCTGGTAAAAAAACATATACTTACCTAGGTAAATAGCACTGACAGATTACCAAAACAGAGTATTTTTAAAAATTGAAAGGCTGTTGGTTTCCTTTTTGGATTGCTTAGATGAAGAATATACACAAGTCAGTTTCACTTTCATTTCCACCTTCAGGTTTTAGCACAGTGGCTCAATGCTTTAATGTTTGTGTTGCAAATAGGGCAAGGGAATGAACAAAAAAAACCTACTTCCGCTGGACTATTTACAAATATACATGGAAACACTTCTACTGATTTTAGATTGGGTAACAGATTAGCTTTACAAAACCAAAATGTTTTGTGACATTTTGACCAGTGTCCCTTTGCTGACTGTTTCTTCTATTAAAGTTTAATTTTAGTCAGTCATTTTCAGAAACCTTATTATGAGGCAGTGTAGTATGCTCAATCATTTTTTCCATCAGTCACACACATTATGTTAAAATAACAATATAACTTTACTGGTACATCCTGATATGTTTTGTGGCAACCAGGGCCGGCTCCAGGCACCAGCCGACCAAGCACGTGCTTGGGGCGACACCTTGGGGCAGGGCAGCGCTCGATTTTTTATTTAATTTTATTTTTTTTGATTCGGCACGTGTTGCTCGGAGGGGGGCAGGTGCTTCGGGCGGCGTGGTGCTGGGGGGGCAGAGCTTCGGGCGGCGTGGTGCTCGGAGGGGGCGCGGGGCTTCGGGCGGCATAGTGCTCGGAGAGAGGGCAGGGCTTCGGTCGGCATGGTGCTCGAAGGGGGGCAGGGGCTTTGGGCGGCGCTCGGAGGAAGGGCGGGGGCTTCAGGCGGTGTGGTGCTCGGAGGGGGGGGCGGGTCTTCGGGTGGCGCGGTGCTCGGAGGGGGACGGGGGCTTCGGGTGGTGCTGGGGGGGCAGGGCTTTGGGCGGCGCGGCGCTTGGAGGGGGCAGGGCTTCGGGTGGCACGGCGCAGGGATTTCGGCGGCGCTCGCGGGGGGGGGGGTATGGCGGGGCGGCGCTCTTCTTTTTTGCCTGGGGCGGCAAAAAAGTTAGAGCCGGCCCTGGTGGCAACACCACATTAGCCAGGATACTTCACCCCTTTACTGCTTTGGGGCTCTCAGCGTATGACCTGTAAAAATGAGTTTGTTGAATAGTATGTCCCAGGGATGTGCCACTCTGACAATTTTTGCTCAGATTAATGGGATGTGAGTACGCACAGAAGGGAGATGTACAAGGAGTTGGAGAAGGTTTTTTAAAAAGCATGAAATTTTAAGGAAACCCTTAAAAACGGCAAAACCAGAATAAAAGTGGCATTTTCATTAACGAACCTGATTATATTCTGTTTCAACATTACAAGGATTTGTAAAAATAAATACACATCACTAATCTGAGAACCTAAGGATATCCCCACAAACATCATTGGCTGCAAGACACACAGGTTAAAGATTATTCTGTATTGCCTAGAGAGATGACAAGATCAATTTCAAAAGCTGTTCAAGGCTGCTATTCTCAATCCACATTGTTGTCAGTTTGTCAGTATCTTGAGTAAGTGGTGATATAAACCTAGACCAAGCCATTAAGCTTATTGTAAAATTTATTTTGAAGATTCTCAGTGATTCTTTCAAATATTTACATTTGTTTGGAAAATACAGTTACTGACCATTAGAATTTATGCTGCCATTCAAAATTAGGAACAAGAGAAGGATGAATATTTTTGCCTGCTACTGACTCAGTGGTCTTTCAGCTCCCATTCTCAGAGAGCAGTATTTGGGTGAAGAGGTGAGTTTGCATAGGGCTAGAATTAGCAGCTAACAGAATTAGATAACTTCTTTAAAACATTCATAACGTTCTTTTTCAAAAGGCTGTGGATGTTCTTATTATGAAGGATAATGAATTAACATCAAGTTCTACATACATTTAGTTTGTCTCTGAAAAATACATTAAGGGAACAGAATCACAGTATCTGATGTCAGGATCAGTTAATGATACTTTCCTAGAACACTAGTTGTGTTATGAAGTAAACCCTATGCAACAGAAACTTTTTTTCTATTAGAAACATGAACATAAATACGGATTTGTAATGTAATTCATGGAACAAAGGCAAACACCTGGCATTCTGCATTAATTACTAATCAGTCCCTCGAGAGTATTAGTCATCACCTTTTAATTTTTTGCCCAGTTGCACAGAGGAGCTGGAAATGGCATGGACAAACACACAGCATGCAGATGGAAGATCAAATGTCAACCAAAAATGCTGGTTCAATTCAACGGGCAACAGTTGACTGACAGTACCCAAGAGACTATCTGAAAAACAAATGGGACAGCAGCAGCACTTGATAAGAACTGCTGACCTTGATATCAGTTAATCACTTCTTGCTTACGTGCTGTGGTCCAGGGTAATGTCTGTTATGTTGCCTCTGAAGGGAATGGGAATTATTTATATCATCCTCGATTTTTTTCATACTTTAAGAACGTTGCCTTAAAATAAACCTTTGGTCATTTTACCTAGAAGAAAAAACCTGGCTTCTTTAAAAGTTGGCGATTAAAAAAAAATACTCTTTCCCCAGAGCACAGGCCACATAAACAGGCTGTGAGCTGAGGAAGTGTGCATTGAATCTATTTCCCTGGACATGGAAAATCAACACGCTACACAGTTGATGTGTTTTTTCCCTCCTTGAAAGAGAATAGCTATCCTTGCTGACAACTCCTCCTTCCAGCTATGAATGAAGGATTTAGAAAGTATCAGTGCAGAGTGCAGTGACATCAGTGAGAGAGAGATCATTGTCCAGTTGTTAGATTGCTCGACTTGGTGTCAAGAATCCTGGATTATATTCCAGACTCAGCCCTTGGAAGACCTTGCCAAATCACTCTTCCTCTCTGTACCATGCTCTCTCAATCTAGGACCAGGTATAATACTTACCTAACACACCTCAGAGTGAGTGAACCCAGAAGGCCTGATATTAAAGTCATGAAGTCAAAGGGAGGCTTGCCTAAGGAGTCAGAATCAGGCCCATATGTCAAATGAGTTTGTTTGGCACTTGAAACATAGCAAGGAGGATACAAATCCTGTCATCAGTTTCAAGGATAGAGCATTACAATACACTGAGCCATTTGGAAGTACAGGCAAATATTTTTTTATAGAAATTGTGAAACTTGTTAGTTTAATTTTAAAATTGCTTATCTTGAACACTTAGTTGGAGTTTAACAAAGCAATTTTCATGACCTAATTAAATTAAAATAGACTGTTATGACTACTTATTAGTATATGTTTAATAGATAAACTGGTCACTATATAATTAATGTAAATCACTTTAGCATGGATAATTACACTTTTATTGATCCGTTAAACCAGAAGAGTTTGATAACACATTTGAAAGGCTTGTTATTTACTCAGTATTCATTTCTTTGGCATAAAAAGGACAGTGATAGCAAGTTAATTAAAATCAATTAACTGCTAAAAAAAGAGACCTTTAAGCAGAACAATGTGTGACAGGTAAATTAATCTGGTACATGTAATTATAGCACAAAATCACTACAGTTTGTTGACACTCGTGGCTGATAGCATGGGTTCCTGCCAAACAATCATGGGAAGCAAAGGAAAAGATTATATGTAACTTCTGCACAAAGGACTTTGCACTTTAGGACCCATCTAAATTTGCTGTGTCTGCCACTTTCTCACTGTGGTGAAATTCATCCCTATACACTGGGACAGCAAAAAAGCTATGCATCACATAATACTCAAAATAAGGGTTATAGGGTGCATAGACTTTGTGCTGGGTCTCTGCACAAGGGGAGAATTTCTACCTATATAAGGTTGGAGAAAACATTTAATTTTTGTGCGCTTCAGATTTTCCATCAGTAAAAGAGGGTAATAATACTGATCAACACCACAGCAACTTTGTGAGGTTTAACTCATGAATGTTTGTAAAACGCTCTGAGATTCATGAAGGAAAAGTTCTACGGAATTTGTTTTATTGCTGTAATTACTCTTGGAAGGCATCTATCAATTGCATGTTAAAGTACAGTGTCTTTTCCTCGTTCAGAAACAAGACAAACAATATACTAATCAGCATGATAACCATTTATTGTGTTTTAATAAGCGGTAGAAGAAAGCGTAAAGCATGTACTTCCCACAAGGGGGGGATGTAGTATAGAGAACCACCATCACTTATCATTGATGGCACATCATGAGTATACTCAAAAGCATTTGCGATGGACAATGGAAGGACCAGCTTCCTCGTATTCATCTTTGCTGATCCACATTTGCTGGAAGGTAGACAGAGAAGCCAAGATTGAGCCTCCAATCCAGACGGAGTATTTACGTTCTGGTGGTGCAATCATCTAGAAGGGGGAGAAGTGTAATGTTTTCGAGCAGAGAAATGAGTAGCTCACGCAGTAATATCTCGTCTGTGCAAATTTACTAGGTCAAAGCCAGTTCCCCATTACAGCAGTGCAACACCACTGAAATAAAACATCCAACAGCTAAAAAGGCAGTCATCTCTTCTGCCTTGCAGCTGCAGTCAGAATTATTTCAATGTAACAATTTGGCCCCTGACTATATGGGCCATTACCTGAGAGGAAGCCAATGGGGTGGCAGATACTCAGCACTATTCTGAATCAGACCTGAAGATGGTAATGGAAAATGGGCAAGGACTAAAACAGTCAGCTATCTGCAGATTGCCAGGGAGTTTAGTAGCTTGACCCACCTTGAAGCCAAGAAAGTACTCATCAGGTGCTTATTATATGTATCTAGATGAAAAACAACCACTTGCTACATGCATATCTGGGGGTCCCAGCATATTAACCCATACTAAAATCCCTAGATGGCCTTTTCATTAAAATGTGTTGTAGTGCTTTAACTTTCTTTTGATGCATGTGGGCTAATATACTTAACTGACTTTCTCTCAAGTAAGTTGAGATTGCACAGAACCTCACAGGACTGGGTCCCATATACTTTTAGACCAAGATTTTCAAGAGCGATTGTGTTTGAGACACTTTAAAGGGGTCTCAGTGGGCAGGTGCTTAGCACTTTTGGAAAATCAGGCCCTATTAAGGTGTCTCCAGTCAAGCCCCCCAAATTACTAGCAACTTTTGAAATCCAGTCATCCCAGTGGGAGCTCAGACTGTGGCCTCAATCACCCCTCATGCTCCAATTGCTCCCCCAGAGCTGGGTAACTGCAAAGGAGTGGGTTGAGGGGTGGGGAACAGAGCAAGATAGAGAGACCTGGGCCATCGGGTGCTGACCTTGAGCCCGAGGGGTTTATCAAAGTGTCCAGCCCTGTTACTGAGCTACCTCAAATTATGTTTTCCCCCGGGTCATTTCCTTCTAGTCTGGAGCTCCTCCATTTGAGGCACAGTCACTGGCTTAGCAGACTCTCTTTGGTCTCTTAGGATATGTCTACGCAGCAATTAGACACCCACAGCTGGCCCATGTCAGCTGACTCAGTCTCATAGGGCTCGAGCTAAGGGGCTATTTAACTGTGGTGCAGACATTCAGGCCCAGCTGCAGCCCAAGCTCTGGGAGCCTCCAACCTCTAGACCCTGTCCTCCTTTGGTTTTTGCAGCTCCATCCTCTCCTGGTTCTCCTTCTACCTCTTTGGTTGTTCGTTCACAGTGTCTCTTTTGATGGGTTCTCTTCTCCTATTCCAATTTCCATTAGAGTCACAGAGGGCTGTTGTTGGCTCCCTCTTTACACTTTCTTTAGGAGACCTCATTCACTCACACAGTTTCAATTACCATTTTTATGCCAATAACTGACAAATCTGTCTCTGAAACCTGACATTGAGAAAATAAGGAAGAGGGGTTAGATGACTTGCCCAAGGTCACAAAAATCTGTGGCACAGCCAGGAACAGAATCCAGCTGTAGTAGTTCCCAGTCTTCTGTTCTAAGCACTAAACACTCACTCTCTTGTGAATATATGTGTGGTCTGATTTCTTAACAAAAGAAACATGAAAAAAAATCGGTATAAAGTGTTAGGATTACCTTAATCTTCATAGTACTTGGAGCCAAAGCTGTAATCTCTTTCTGCATGCGATCACCAATACCAGGGTACATTGTTGTTCCCCCAGAGAGCACGTTATTAGCATAGAGATCCTTACGGATGTCAATATCACATTTCATAATGCTGTTATAAGTGGTTTCATGAACACCTGCAGATTCCATTCCTGTTTGAAAATAATATTTCAATACATTACATCCATAGGTTAAGGAATCCATTTCTTTACTACTGTCAACATGGAAGCATGACTCATACAGATCAGGGTCAATGGTCCCTAAACATACTGTATTTGCTGACATTACTCCCTTAAGAAAATTCCAGGAACAAGCTATGAGATGCTGGGGCGGGGGTGGGGGGAGATAAAGCTAAGTGCAATTTTTTACTTTCCCAGGTGGGAACAGGATTACAAATGGCAGACATAAAATAGACTTGAAAACAAGAAAGATTCTCTCCTACTGTGTTCTAATGCTTGGAATTTAGATTGCCTCAAGTATAAATTGATGCAATTATTTAGCAAATAAAAAAAAAAGCTGTTTGAGTTGTTTCCACAATAGTCTGCTGTTCCTATGGTCAAGTATATTGGTATTAGCTAGAAATAATACCCACTCCTAACTCCAGTTTGTTAAAACGATTCTTATAAGCCAGTTTGAATAACTGGGTAACATGAAAATACAGTAAAGCCCACTTATGGTGGTGATATTTTTCACCACAGAAGAGATACAAGGAGTATCCCTGTGACAGAATACAATCTGAACAGTGCCACACTTTCAAATAATTCAGAACTCTCATTCTGACACGGACTTGTGTGCCCAAGAACTGCTGGGCACCAGTTGTGGTTCTGCTACTGTGTATCCTCAAGTCCCTTAACCTTTCCACATCCCAGTTTCCCCATCTGTAAAACAGAATTTCCACAGAGGCCTGCTCCTGCTCCAGGACAGGGGCTCAGATACCGAGATGGGGGCTATACAGGTGCTTCAATGGACCAGACTTCTAGATAGAAATCGGTGAGAGTTTTACCATGGGCTTCCATGGAAGCAGGACTGAATTGACTATGGGCCAATCCTGCTGTCATTACTCAGTTCTCGTTGCTGAAGTCAATGGGAGTTCTGTGAGGAAGGCTTGAACTACCATAAACTGAAGGTGGATTTTGACTCTATTATTTTCCAGTAGATAAACTACTGGAAAATAATAATACATGGGTTTTATACTCTATTGCTTGCTGAGTTGAAGACTAGAGGAACTGATTGTGGAGCAGAGGCAGCACCTGGATGAGAAATATTTTTTCTTACATTATCAGATATTTATCTCACTTAGCACCAATGTACAGCTGTACTGATCTCAATCAGTCTGAACTGGAAGCAGTATCTTCTCATGGTACTGAAGTACTGGCTGGTAAGCTTTGGTCTTAGTCTGGTGAACTGATACAGGTATTTGAAAAAAAACATGAAAAGTCACTGTCTTAGAACCCTGGTATTTTCTAGCCTGAAAGGAAAATTAATATATAGCAAGACCAGCAGACCTGTCTACATTTTCCAAAGAGTAACTTCCCCATTTATCAGAGGGACTGAGAAAACCCAACTCCTGATGGAGTAAATAGAAACTACAGGTTCTCAGAACATAAAAGTCTCTACATTTTAATGTTTCCCTTACAGTTAAACACAACCTTCTTTTCCAATTCAACCAAGCCCTTTGTAAACAGCGCCTAGGCCCACCTATGAATGAAGGTTGGAAGAGAGTTTCTGGGCATCGGAATCTTTCATTCCCAATGGTGATGACTTGCCCATCAGGAAGCTCATAACTCTTCTCGAGAGAAGAAGAGGAAGCGGCTGTTGCCATTTCATTCTCAAAATCCAAAGCCACGTAGCAAAGCTTCTCCTTTATGTCCCGCACAATTTCACGCTCCGCTAAAAATACCCAACAAAAATAAGTAAGAAACGTTATTTTTTTAAAAGGATCACATTAATTATATCTTTTATCAACATACAATATGGCAGCCAGAAGACACACTTGGGACAGATTCCATCACACGTTTGTGTGTGCAGGGATGCCGCACAGTTTAGTGCGGGGGTCGGCAAACTTTCAGAAGTGGTGTGCCAAGTCTTCATTTATTCACTCTAATTTAAGGTTTTGCGTGCCAGTAATACATTCTAACGTTTTTAAAAGGTCTCTTTCTATAAGTCTGTAATATATAACTAAACTATTGTTGTATGTAAAGTAAATAAGGTTTTTTAAATGTTTAAGAAGCTTCATTTAAAATTAAATTAAAATGCAGAGTCCCCCGGACCAGTAGCCAGGACCTGGGCAGTGTGAGTGCCACTGAAAATCAGCTCGCGTGCTGCCTTTGGCACATGTGACATAGGTTGCCTACCCCGGTCTAGTGGATTTATCACAGACTTGTGATGTAGGGACTCTTGGGGACTAGTTGTAGTTCTGACATTGACCAATGTGTGGCCTCCAGTAAGTCACTTAACATTTCCATGCCCCAGTTTCCCCATTTGTAAAATCATGGTGATTGTGTCATACTTCCTTCTAGGGGTATTGTGCAGATTAATTCATGTTTGTGCCACCAAATTCCACTAGTCAGAACACAGTAGTAAAAATATAGCCATAGACTAGTTCTGCTTGGGAGCAAAATGGCTGTGATAATACACGGGGGGGGAGCAGTTTTTTATGTTGTAGATTTCCTGCTGCTCAGCCTGCACAGCACCAGCATCCTAAATCTTAGAGATGGAAGAAGCCCACTAGCCCACACGGTCCATATCTCTGGCCTATCGAGGGTTGTACCCTGCAACACAGCTTTGGTGCAGCAAATCACATACACACTTGCAGTCCAATATGACACCAAAAAGAGTTAGTGTGCGCATGTAAGTTGCATATGGAAGGCATCTTATTACCAGTGGTGACGAAAGAATAGCCTCTTTCTGTGAGAATTTTCATGAGATAATCGGTGAGGTCTCTGCCTGCCAGGTCCAGCCTCATGATGGCGTGGGGCAAAGCATAACCTTCATAGATGGGTACGTTGTGTGTGACACCATCCCCGGAGTCCAGAACGATTCCTGGGAAAGAAAAGGAAAAGCTTGACATTCTCAGCCAATGTAGAACCCACAACTTCTGCACATTCTAAACAGAAAGCTGAAACAATAGTAAAAGGACTTGCTGGGCAATGTTCATTTGATAACCCCTTTTGTCTTCACTATAAGTGGAGCTCTGCTTGTATGTGGTGGAAATTGTTAGCATACACAAAGAAGCAACTGCCTTTGGCAAAAGCATGAAGCATTCTGCAATTGTACTGTATTGTTCTCTCTCAACAGATGCTAATGATAATGATCTTACATTTATACAGAGCTTTTCATCTCAAAAGATTCAAAGCACTATATGGACTAAAAATGATGTAAAACTACACACAGAGATCATCTCATCAACAATTAAAATACAGTCTCCTCTGGGCTGAACACAGCAACTGTTTAACAGTGCACTGCACTGTGTAGTGTTGCTGCACTTTAGGGCAGGAAGTGAAGAACATCTTTTCCATTGAAAAGTGGATGAAAGTTTCCAATATTAAATACACACAGATGTACACACAGAATGGAGCCTTTTAAAGGAATCAACAATTTGCCACAAAGGTTGATTCCTGTAAACAGGTGATCTCTTTTCACAAACTACACCAGGGGTGGGCAAACTTTTTGGCCCAAGGGCCACATCTGGGAATAGGAATTGTATGGCGGGCCATGAATGCTCACAAAATTGGGGTTGGGGTGCAGGAGGGGGTGAGAGCTCTGGTTTGGGGTGCAGGCTCCGGGGTGGGGCCAGAAATGTGGAGTTCAGGGTGTGGAAGGGGGCTCCGGGCTGGGGAGAGGGGTGCGGGGGGGGCCTCCGGGCTGGGGGTGTGGGCTCTGGGGTGGGG